GTTCAAGGATCTAAGTTCACATCTTGTGCCTTATCAGATTGGGAAAGTTAATATACCTATTGCTTTAGCTAACTTGGGAGTTGTGATCAATGTCATGCCATTGCATATTTACTCCTTATTGAATTTAGGAAGACCTCAAGAAACTAACATTTTCTTATAGTTAGTTGATCAAACTATGAGGAAGCCTTATAGGATCATTAAGGATCTACTTATCAAGGTAAAAAACTTGTTTTTTCCTATAGATTTCTACATCCTTGATATGGATCAAGCTAAAGGAGGATTGATTCTTGGGCGACCATTCCTGTTAACTGCTAATGCTATTATCAACATGAATGAGGGAACTATAACTTTAGAGTTTGGAGGTAAGGAAGTTAAGATTGATGTTGCATCCTTATGAGGAGCATTCTATGACTGGTGTAAAAATGGTTGATTTTTCTATTAATGCATGTATAACTAACTCTTTACATGCCACTAGTAGTGATAATTCTAGATCATATTTTGGTGTTGATTCTTGCACTAATTGTGACTACTTGGACCTTACTTCTTGTGAACATTTTGCTAAAATTTCTCACATGATGTCTAGTTTTCTAATCTTGCAAGACATTAGTGATGATGAACTATTTCCTAGAAGGTTTATTGTAGGTGATAGCACTTTTGCATGTATGCTTAGTTCTTTTTATGTAGAAAATAATGTGATTGATTTTTGTGATTTGAATAGTTTTATGCATGCTTATATGCACTTGGAATCACCTTTTGATTGTTCTAGTGATAGTGACATTGATGAGGAAGTTATTTATAAGGGTCTTGATTATGAATTCATCACTCATACCTACACCTCTTTCTGATAAACCTTGCATTGCATCTAGCTCTCTTTCTAGTGGCTCTAGTTCATTTTCTATTTAATGAGAGCATATTCCTTTTTCTTAGATTGTTTTGCTTTTGATTATATCTTGTTTGACCATTTACTTGCTAATATGGTTGAGAAGGGTATTGTTTCTATGCTTGTAGGTTTAGAGTATTCAAAAGAGGGAGTGACAAAAGCTAAATCAATTACCTTGCTAAAAGGAAAGAAGGAAGCATGTGCATTTGATTTGTCTTTTGAGCCTAAAAGGCCTGCTCTATCTATTAAGGAGCCTTATACCTTGGAGTTCAAACCTCTTCTTAGCAATCATAAATATGCTTTTCTATTTGCTAATGAAAAGTTACTTGTAATTATTTATAATGCTATGTTTGATATTGGGAAAAAATTGTTGTTGGATGTACTTAAAAAGAATGTTAAGGCTTTAAGTTAGACCTTAGGAGGCTTTCTAGGGATTCCTTCTACCACTTGTACGCACATCGTATTCTATTAAAGGATGGGGATAAGACTATGAGACAGTCTCAAAGGGGGTTGAATCCCCTCATTTTAGATGTGGTTAAAAAGGAAGGCACTAAGCTTTTAAGGGCTTGGATTATTTACCCTATCAGTGATAGTGAGTAGGTAAGTTTGGTATAAGTAGTACCAAAGAAGAGTGGCATTCTATGGTTAAAAATGAGAACAATGAGCTTATACCTACTAAGGTCTAAAACTCATGGAGAGTTTGCATAAACTATAGAAAGCTAAACGAGGTCACTAGAAAGGACTATTTTCCTCTTCCATATATTGTTTAGATATTGGGATGACTTTCAGGAAACTCTTATTACTATTTTCTGGATAGGTACAATAGTTACTTCTGTAACATCCTGACTTTCTAAATCTCATAATTAGCTGTTAATCAAGGGTAAAGTGGTAATTAGTATGGATTAGAGATTTAGATGATTATGTGATGATTTGACTTATTAAGATGTTGTATGAACAGATATGGGTGAGAAGATTATGTTACGGGTTGAAACAAGTGCCTGTAGTGAGAATTATTCTCACTATACCACACGTCGCAGCTTGTGTTGCATGCATTGTGACACATGAATCAGAAAATGATCCCTTAAGTCATGAATTTTAGGTGAATTTCAAAGAGGTAAATCTAAAAACACATGAAAAAGGAGAAGAGAGAAAGCTAAGGTCTACTAGGGAAAAAAATTTCAAAATGGTGGAAGGTGCTTCTGATCAGTAACTTAGCAAGTAAGCTATGTATAACCCTTACCTTCCATTCTACCCAAATTTCTCTAAATATGAGTTATAGACAAATTGAATTAGTAAAGTTTTAAGGGTTTGATTCTTGCCTAATAGTAATAAAAAGGTTCTCGAGGTTAAACTAGAGCTTTACGATTGGTTTAAAGTTGAATGATAGAACTTTGAACCCGTAGGCTCGCTTTGGCCCTGAATCAAGAGGAAATTAGGGTGAAAATCTTGTTTAATTAAAACAAAATCAGTTGAGGTGATATAAAGTAGTAATTGAGTAGTAATGAACCTAAAATGGATAAATGAAAAAGAATAGATGGATGAATATAGCCATAAGTAGTAAATATATGTTTTTAGGTCAAATTCAACCAAATGGCTAAATTATGCCAAATGTGTTTAGATTGGCATATTGAACATGTGAGTTGTGAAAGGAAGCTTATGATGAGCTATAATGGTGGTTAAAATTTATAGGTAACCTTTTTAATGACAGAAGGGTTGAGGTAATTAAATAACTTTCTTTGTTTGACCATTTGTTGTAACCGTGTGTGAGTATACTATGTAGTGCATGACATAGTTTTCAACTAAACATGATTTATGGCATTTTGTGAATGTTGCATGAACTAACTTTTAATTGAATAAAAAGTATTAAAATGTGCGATTTCATATGGTATGTAAATATATATGTTAAATATATATGTTATTTATGAAAAAACATGTGAAATGGTGATTGAGAACCTATATGGTTCAAAAAGCATGATCATAAGGGTGGAAGTTCATCCATATAGAGTGTGGTGACAAGACCTTATGATATATTCTCCTTAGTGCCCAACAGGGTGTAATATTGGAGAAGTATACCTCAGTGCCTTTTGAGGTGTGGTGTTGGAGATGATCTCCTTAGTGCCTATTAAGGTACGGTGTTGGAGATTTAGACTCCTTATTATTTGTGTGATAAGGTGTTAGAGTCAACAACACCCCATTTTGTGTGTTGGGGGAAACCATAGTCCATAAGTGAGATAGAACACATTTGGCTGAGTAATTCTACTACTAAAGGCGAGTTCAGGGCAATGAAAGTATATATTAGTCTAAGACGAGCCTATGCTTTGATGTCAGGGTGATTTGGAGGTTCAAATGGTAGAGATCATGCTTATGTTAGAAAAGTGGTGAAAAGCAGTGAAAGTGGTAATATATGCTATATTGATGAGATTTGAATGGAATATGTGATATATGTTATGTTAAATGGTATATATGCTTTACTTTCATATAGTTTCATGTGATAGTAAATGGGAGTGAGTTATTCTGATACTGAGATTTTTATCTCACCCCGTGGCTGCATTTTACAGGACAAAGTAGTGATCAAGGCAAAGGAAAAGAGTTAAGACTTGCTTAGAGTTTTTGAAGTCATGTTAGCTCACAGTATTGTATAATAAATTGAGAAGTCATGTACATATGTAAAGATAAATTTTCATAGGAGTTTGCATGCATGTTTTGAAATGGGTTTTAGTTGAAAGTGTAGAAATTGTGATGAATCTTAGCCCATATGTGAAATTATAATGAAATGAGTAACTTAGGGCTAAGATTAAATAGTAATTATGATATGTGTGGATATGTGATAAAAGAAAAAGGGCCAAGTGGGCTAAGTTATGCAAAATATGTTAAATTGTAAAAAGTTGAGAAATGTGAAAATTGGCCATTGAGGGGTCAAATTTTAATATCTGTGTATATATGTATTTTGTTGTGGTTAATCAAGTGTATTCGGTGCTTTTGGATTTAGTTCAAGGCCTTGTGTAGTCTAATAAGAGAAAGGGATCGATTTGAATGCTTGGGTGCACAAAATTTTTAGAAAAAGTGACCTTTTGCACTCGGGTGCCCAAATTTGATTGGACCGTTAGATTGTGTCCAAACTTATCTTATTAGCTAACTTATGAGATAAGCTTTATATGGGCGCTTGAATCACTCCAATCAAACATCATATGTGAAAATAATGCACGCCAGAAGTTCTCATTTTACTGTCAAAATGACAAGTAAAAATTTCAGACTGGCATGCCACAGTGCATGGCATCTCACGCCATGGCGCATGTCACAGAAAGTTTGAGTGTGTGGCTTTATACCATATGCTGCAGCACACGTACTACACACTGTGATGCATGGCCCATATTCCAACTTGATTTTTGTCATTTTTAATACATATTATGATTGAGATGGATGTGCATGATTTATTTTCCCTGCATATTCCTTTCATGCATTATAGTTTTGATGATTTTGCAAATGAGTCTTGGGCCTATAGTTTTCAAACAAAATATTTGATTACTGATTAGTGTATTTGATATGGTGATTTTATTAATCTTCTCCTGTATTTGGAGGATATAAGAGGAGGCTATAATTTTAGTATTAGTTTCTCAAGTTTTGAGACCTAATTGTTGAGATTCTTTGATGCATTTATTTATAGATATGCCAACTTACAATTGTTCATTACACAACTCTTTCCTTGATGCCCTTTCTGTTTCTTATTTTCATCCTTATAAGGGGAGAAAATAGCATACGATATAAGGAGAGGTACTCGTGCTAGAAGTGCTGTGTCTAGATAGGTTGTTGGGGAGGAACGAGAGCTGGAAGTTCAACTGGTTCATTTATAGAGAGATAGAAGGGATGAGTACTTGAAGAGCTTAGAGATATGGTGGTGGATATAAGGCAGACAGTTAGGGATCATGATACGATCCTAAGAGGTAGAGAGCAGGAAGAGAGAGTTAAGGCTTAGGATATTCTAATGCGTGAGGAAGCATACAGTAGACCTGGACCATCTTAGGGTTCAAGTAGCAGGCAAGATATTCCTAGTATTGATCCATCAATTGATTGTGCTTGGAAGATGTTTGTTTAATTCAACCCGCCAACTTTTAATAGTAGTATGAGAGAAGGGGAAGTAGAGCTATGGATCGAGCGACTGGAAACTATCTTTGAGGTGGTGATCTATACCCCTAGGCAGAAGGTTATCCTGGCCATAGTGCAGCTAGTTAATACTGCCTTAATAGGAATTCGTAAGGCCTTCGAATGGTATTCGGTTGAGGTGGGGTGAATTCAAGAAAGCTTTCTTTGATTAATATTTCCTAGTCTCATTCAGAACCGAGAAAGAAGAGGAGTTTCATGCGTTCACACAAGGAGATCTGAACAAAAAGGAATTTATAAGAAGGTTTAGTGACCTATCGGCTTAGTCCACACACCTCCAGCATAGTAATGATACAAAGTAGAAAGCTGAGCGGTTACTGGAAAAGATAAGACTTGAGTATCACCAACAGATAGTGCTGCTTGATGTGACAACTTATAAGGAGATGTGCCATAAGCTAAGAGTAGCAACTAGGCATAGTAGAGAGGTAAATGCCAAGAGGAGGTGAGACAATATAGGGAGATTCTCATCCCTTTTAGGCTTGATAGGCGAAATTTCAAAGAGGCCTGGGTTCAGTAGTGGCAATTCTAGTTCCTCGAGAAGGAGTTTCAGTATAGGATGTCAATCTTAACCTGTGTAGAGAGCATTAATGCAGAAAAGTGAGGGTGTGAGAATTTGACCTCTACAGTCTTCAAGGAAAGCATCTAATATTCCAGCGTTGACTTTGAGTATTGGAAGGACACCCTAGTGCAACATTTATGACCGATCTCATCCAGGAAGAATTTAGGCTTACTTCATGTATGGCAAGCCAGGTCATATAGCGAGGCAATTCCTAAAGGGTAAAGTTGAGGGGACTGAGCATTGTTCTACTATCCTTGGCCGAGTGTTTGTAGTCATACAGGAAGAGGCTAGAGCATATCTAAACTTGATAAGAGGTATGATTTCTGTTTGCAGTCACAGAGTAGGGGCATTATTTGATTTGGGTGCTCTTCATTTCTTTGTGTTTGAGGAGTATGTGAATAGATTGGATTCTTTTAGCTCATCTAATATCACTAGTAGAGCTTGTCAAGGTATGGAGATTTGATTTGAGGATAGAGTTTCCAAGATCAATTTGATTTGTATTCACATGAAAGGAATAGAGGTGATTATTGGCATAGATTGGCTAGTAGTGAATAATGCTATGATTGATTGTGCTAGAAAGGTGGTTTCACCATCAATGTTGTGTGTAGCAGTGGATTCTTTAGAGAAACTTAAGTTCTTGTCAGTGGTTAGAGTTGAGAAGTTAATTCAGCAAGGTTGTGATGCGTATATGGTGTTATTTACCTCCAACACGGTGTATGATGGTGGAGTTGGGAAGATTGATGTAGTAAGTGAGTTCCCTAAGGTATTTTCAAATGAAGTGATGGGATTACCTCTTGAAAGGGAAGTAGAGTTGTCAATTGATTTGGTTCCTGGAATTGAACCAATATTAAAGGTCTCATATAGAATATTGCTAACAGAATTGGCTGAATTGAAGAAGCAAATTAAAGACTAGCTAGACAAAGGGTTTATTGGACCAAAAGTATCGCCCTAGGGGTTGCCAATATTTTTTGTGAGGAAGAAAGATGGCAGTTTAAGTCTTTGCATAAAATACTGGTAGTGGAATAAAGTAACTATGAAGAACAGGTATCCTTTACTAAGGATAGATAATCTTTTAGATTAGTTAGCTAGTGGCTCAGTCTTTTCTAAGATAGATTTGAGGTTAGGGTATCATCAGTTGAGAATCAATGCAGCAGATGTACCTAAGATGGCTTTTAGAACTCGGTATGGCCATTATGAGTTTTTAGTTATGCTATCTACTTTGACTAATATGCCTATAGTATTCATGGACTATATGAATTGCATATTTAGACTGTACTTGGATAAGTTTATAGTGGTTTTTATAGATGACATCTTGATATATTCTAAGAATGAGGAGCAACATGCAAAGCATTTAAGGATGGTGCTCCAGATTTTGAAGGATAAGAAGTTGTATGCCAAGCTCAATAAGTGTGAGTTTTGGTTGAGGGAAGTCCAATTATTAGGACATATGGTGTTTGCAAATGAAATTTCAGTGGATCCATATAAGGTTGATATAGTATTGAAGTGGGAACGTCCTAGTTCAGTCATGGAGATATGTAGTTTTCTAAGATTAGTTGGGTATTATCAACAATTTTCTTAGATAGCTTCTTCTTTGACCAACTTAACAAGGAAGGATCAGCCTTATATTTAGGATGATTGGTTATAAAGTAGCGTTTCAAAAGCTAAAAGAGAAGTTGACCATAGCACTAGTGTTAGTTATCCCTAATTCAAGGTTACCTTATGAGGTATACAAAGATGCATCATTGAGAGGTCTTAGATGTGTCTTGATGCAAGATAGTTGGGTTGCAGTGTATGGTTCATGACAATTGATACCGCATGAAAAGAACTATCCTGCGCATGACTTATGCTCACAGCAGTGGTGTTTGCCCTAAAGATTTGATGCCATTATGAGTAGGAGATGTTGGATAGGAAGGCATAATGGAAGATTAAAATTTTAAAGTCCCTATCCTGATATGGACCGAACGAACTCGTTTAAGTTAAGGTGGATAGAAGAGTTACCTTTTTAATTCTTTAAAGTTGGCACACGTTTGGATCTCAAGAGCTGACAACATAGATCAGCTCCCTCTACCGGTATCCACACAAACAGCTCTCTAACTCGAACAGCGTAGTAGCGCTCTCAATATCCATTCTTCTTTGAACGTTAATTTTCCTTTCTATAGGGTGTTTCATGGCTCTCAGTGTTTTTTTGTTAGAACTTTTCTAACTCTCTATCTTCCTTCATAAGGACATCCCTATCTATATATAGTATATAGATAAGGGTTTTTGTCTTCCATTTAAAAGCTCACAAAAATTTAATTAAATTTATCTCATAAATTTAATCCATAATATCATATCTAATTCAAATTTATCTTATAAATTCAAATTATAAAACTGACATGATATTCTCTCTTAACATGTTAGTTATTAAATTTAATCTATTATATAAAATTAAATTTAAAACTAACATAAGATAATATAATATATATCACATATATGTAAGAATATATATATACACATATATATTTCGAAAATATATATATATATATATATTATATTATCTATATTTAATTTTATATATCATATACATATATCATATATATATATATATATATGATATATACGCATATATGGATATATATATATATATATATTAAAAATATATAGATATAATTATATTTTGAATTTTATATTTCATATAAATATATATATCAATATTTATCAAATAAATATTCAAATATATATATATATATAATTCATTCACCCTATATACATTCATTGAATCTAGATATATTTCACATTGAACAAACTTGAACATTATAACTTGAGTTGGGCCATTCTTGTGTGCGACCCTGTAGGCCCATATGAAATTAGCAATGGGCTAATTATGCTAATAGCCCACAAGTTACAAGTGGTCTCTAGTAAGACGTTGCAACTACCCAATTCACATGGGGATCAATGATCCAATTTAACCTATCATACAATCATATCACATCCCTTTTGTCACGCAATATTTCGATCAAGTATGAGACATAGAATTGTCATTCTCCTTTACCTGACCATTATTTTCTCGATCTCTAAGTAGACTGATAGTAGCAATGAAAAAACCCTTTCCATTGTAGTATGGCCATACATTTTCTCAGTCTTACTCATCGAGGGGCACAGTAATATCTCTCACTTAATGTGAGGGATAAATTCCATCTTGACCACTCATATTCCCCTACATGAATATTACTAAACTTAATCATAGCCTTTATGATCACCCAGTCAAAGGTGACTTTTGACTAGGTCAAAGTTCAGTAGTCATCATGTAGGAATCCATGATGATCTCAGGTCAAAGGGCTTAGTGATATAGTTACATATGAGATAAGCTTATGACTTGTACCATGCAGCTTTCTCATAGTGGGTCGGTCTAGCACCTTATACTCTTTCAAGTGCTTATGACTTTAATTTGTATCTCTATAATTAATCAAAGTTATACCAGTCTTATTTCATCTATGATCCCTTAAAGATAACTGACCAAGAACATTTAGGACAATTACTATAGTTTGTCCAGGGATATAGTTATCATATTAAACATGCAATTGTTATGATTACAAAAGAGAAATTCATTAAATAACAATATGCATAGTACAATGTTTAGCCCTAGGGCACAACTTCTAACAGGAGAGCCACATTGCGAATTAGAGTCTGTGAGCATAGTAAGGAGTTTCCTCATTGTGCCATATGCCTTGGCATATGGCACATATTTTTGATAATTAAGTCATGTCTTATCTCGTAAAATAGAAAGGGAATAGAGGAAAAACACATTGGAGAGTAGAGAAGAAGGAAACCTCTACTAGGGCAAGCAATATTAAGAGTAAGGACAACGTTTTTGACCTATTACTTATTAGGTAAGTCTTTTACTGCCTTAACTTCTAATTCTACCTTATTTTCTTTTACTTTAAACTATTGAGAAATTGAATTCGAAAGTTTTAAGGAGTTGATTTCTTACCTATAGTAATAGAAAGCTTCTCTGGGACTAAACTAGGACATTTGCGAATGGTTTGAGTTAAAATGATAAAGCTTTAAAACTGTAGGCTTAACATAACCTAATTTAGAGAGAGAAAGCTAAATGAAATGTTATAGTAGGTATGTTAGTACCTGAATTGAGTAGTGATTGGGTGTAGAAGATAGGAATGGATATGAGAAGAACAAGTATTAGTGTTAAAGTGCTTAATTGCTATGGTTGGCATTTAGTCAATAAGATAATTAACCCTAGATACCTTAATTATGTACATTTATATGAGCTACAAGTTCAATAGTGGAAAGAGACTTGAGTGAGGAATATAACATAGGTAACCCTTTCTATCATACAGAAGGGTTAAGGTAACCATATAGTTTGTTATGTTTTTCAGCTATTATAACTGTGTGGAAGTGAATATGCATGTGTGTAAAACTATGATTTCAATAATTGTGTTTTTGGTGCATGATTTCACATTATAAATGATTGCGGCATGCTATATGACTTAGAAATGTTTACGGGACTATTGTTGGATTTCAATTTCTAATGAATCCGTATAATTATGTATTTATGTGTGTAAAGTGTGTAAATGTGGAAAAAGTAATGAAATTATATGTGAAAAGCATGATCATAGGGGATGAGGTGGGAGTTTAACCAAGGTATGTGTGGATATATGTGTGTGGAGATGGGTGTGAATAAATCCATATGGTCAAGCCAGCACCATGGGATATCCAATACAATAATTGATATCGGACTAGTACCATAGGACATTTAGTGCAATGATATATTGGGACTATTACAATAGGACATTCAAGTAGTCTGGCAACTCCCTAGTGCTTGTTAGGGTATGATTAGAAGTCAATGATACCTTTATCACAAGTGTGTGAAATGAGGGAAACTATATCCGGAGGTAGGATAAATTACCTTTAGCTGGATGTTTTTACCATCAAAGGAGCACTCGAGTCAATAAGTGATTGGTCTAATAAAGCCTATAGTTTCATGTTGAGGAGCTTTAGAGGATTGGTGAATAGATGATCATACTAGTGAACTTGATTGTGTGAAAATGTTTGATAAATGAGTTTTTATAATATTATTGATATATATAAACTGGTATTTTGGCTTTGTTTACTTTTATATGATTATTTGAGTTATTGAACATTAAATGAGTTATATTGGTGACTGAGATTTTGATCTCACTCGTGGTTATTTATATTTTTTAGATTCTAATAGTAGTGGTGTTAAAGGGAAAGATTCAATCTAAGAATTGTGATTTCTCGATAAAGCTTTATAAGCTTGGGTATAATGAACTTGTGTATTAGTAGTTATGAACGTGTGTATAAGTTGCCACAAGAATAAATGTTATGCATAACATATGAATGTGAATATGTGTGTGATTTTTGGTGTCCTAACCTATTGTGTGTATATGTGTGTGTGTGATAAAAGTGATCATGTGGGCTAGTGGTTAAGTACATATGTAGAAGTGTAGTACAAATGATGTGTGTAGAAGTTTGGCCAATTGTGTGGATTGAAATGAGAAAAGAAATTTGACCCAAGATTATGTGAAATAGGAATCTAAACGGCCAAACTTGTGTATATGTATGATATTATGATTTGAATTGCTTAATCACATGTAATTTGTCCATTTGAATGTAGTCAAGGCCCTAGAAGTGGCTAATAACTTATGGTTTCAAATAGTGATGCGTAAGTGGTGAATTTTGACATAAAAATGGTTAAAAAGCACTTGGATGTCTATATTTTAAATGGAGTATAAAATTTGAATGAAACTAGTGTCATTGATTAGATTATAAATCAAGTTTTGTGTGGGCGCTTGAATCAGCCCAACGGACATCAAATAAAAAAACGACACACATCCGAAGTTCACATTAGAAATTGCCTTTTGATAGCAAATTTTGGTATATGTGAAGCAAAACATA